GGGGGTGTCGTGCCCAGCACCGTCTCTAGCCGACGTCTGTGTCAGTCGCCCCGCCTGCCTGTCCCCAGCGGTCGCCTCGGCACCGCCTGGCGCGTTTGCCGAGGCGCCGCCATAGGCGCGCCCGTCTGGGTTGCTGGCCCGCCGCCATGGGCGGCCCCAGCGCTGGGCAGCAGCGCTCGGGTCTGGCCGAGTCTCAGCTGCCTCTTGCGCCGCCAGGCCTGCGTCCGCAGCGGCAGGGGGCGTAACGATGGGGTCGATCCCGCGCGGGACCGTGCCCTGCCCTCGGCGCTGCCTTGGCATGTGCGCGATCGCCGCCACGACGGCGCGGTTGAACCTCCGCTCTCCGGGCAGCCTCTTGACGGTCCTCGTCGTGACTAGCTTTCCCGTCTCGAGGGCGCAGATGTGCTCGTCGGCGTCGTTACTCTCCCCTAGCCAGACCGCCCTCGCGAAGCCCATGCCACCCTTGTGGTACACCTTGCCTCTCGCCCTGCGATTCTTGCCCCTGGGCAAGCGCGCCAGGACGGACTCCCCTGGCGTGGCCATCTCCCTGGTGTAGGCGTGGTCGTAGAGGTCCTCATGTGCCGTGCGACCGCTCGCCTTGATCCTCAGGTTGGTGCATGCCCAGCCCGCGTGGCGCTGCAACCACTTGTGCATGGCCGTGCCTGGTCGGACCCCGGCCCCCAGTCGCGCCTCCAGCGCGCCCCTGCTCGCGCGGAACTGCGCCTGGATGATGTCATTGGCATTCTCGGAAGGGTTCGACTGGGAGCTGAACGTAGGTGCAGGTTTCACGACCACACGGTTGGGCAGCTCCGCCTTGACCTTGTTGGCCAGGTCCATCATGACGTCCTCGTGGTCTGGCCTTAGGATGACCTTCTGATGGGCAAGGCTCTTGATGAACGCCACCGTGGGTGCCACCGTGTACTGATCAGCGCGTCGGTCAGGCTCCGAGACACTCCGCATGGCGCCAGCGTGGCCATCCGCGACCGCCACCACCACTCCCTCGTCCTGTCTCTGGCCATCCTCGGCGCGGGGGCCCGCCTCCACGGCGTCGGCCGCCTCGCCCTTGAAGAATGCCAGGTCAAGCCCGATCACGGGGAGGCGTCCCACCTCCGCGTCTAGCAAAGCGCGGGGCCTGCCACGCCCACGTCCCGTCTGACAGTGCTCACGCAAGCGCCGCGGTGGGCAGCGCTGGTTCTCCGCGTGGCGCTGTCTCTCCTCCGGCGTTGGCACGTGGACGTCGGGGAACGTGGCCGGTTCCACCACCTGCCCCGACTCCGCCTGACGCCTCATCTCCTCGCGCCTCAGCTTGCGGAAATCATCCGTCGCGCCCTCGCCTTGCGTTTGCCCTCGTACTCGACGAGCCGTGCCCGGCACTGAGCCTTGGTCCCGTAGTGCGGGGCGTAGATCTCCTTGAGGCGCTTCTGCGCGGCGTCGATCCTCGAGCTTGGTCCAAGCCCCTCGAGGTATGAACGCCCCGGCGGCTGTGCCGCCGCAGGTGCCTCCTGGCCCTGCGCGGGCGCCGCCGCCTCCTGCGCCTGCGGTGGCGCCGCCGCCGCCTGCGCCTGTGGTGCCGCGGCTCCTGCTTCTGGTGGCGCTGGGTCACGCGACCCTCGAGCTTCTGGGCGCGGCGGAGGGCCCTCTCCTCGCGCCGCCCCCCACGGAGCTCCCGCGGCGCCAGCTGCGGCGACCCTGGCGGGGCAGGCTGCGAGCGTGGCATCGTCAATCGCGTCGTGGACCTGCGCAGCGAAAAACAACGCTTTGCCGACTAGCTTCATGTCCGCTCGCTCGCCCGTCTCGCGGTTCACGGCGCGCGGGTCGCTCTCCTCAAAGACGAACCTGAACTGCTTGCGCGCCAGCTTCCCGAGGCCGAGCACCGCGCCCTGAGGGGCGAGGTCGTTGCTCACTCTGAGCTTCCCCAAGCATGGCTGGCGACCCTTCTCGCCGCCGACGACCATCGGGGTCCTGCGGAGCCCCTCGGTACCTAGCCTCTGGCCGCTCACCGTGGTGAGCTTGGGCGCAGCGGGGTCCTCCTGAACCGTTGGATTCTGTGCTCCGAACGCCTGGCCGCAGAGGTGCTCGTCGCTGCCACTGTCTGCGAGGATGAGCCCTCTGCGCTCCTCCCCGCGGCAGCCTCCAACCGAGCTCCCGACTCCAAAGACCCAGCCGACCTCGTCGCCGCCGGAGCCTGCAGCCGCCGCGCCCACGGCCCTCTGGCCCTCAGCGCCCGCACGGGCCTGCCGGGCTGCGGCCGCCATCGGGGGCGCTGCCGACGGCGCCCGCGGCTTGCCAGCCGCCCTGTGCCAACAGTCCTTCTCCTTGCGCTGGCGCCAGTTGCAGGTTCCCTCGAACTTGGTGGGGTAGCTGGCCTTGAGCTTGTCATTATTGACTCCCTTCTTGCTGCCATTTCCGCCCTTGTCACCCTTGCCGCTCATCTTGTCACCCTTGCCACCCCCCGACTTGTCGCCCTTGCAATTGGGCCAAGGCCGTTGCGGCAGGGCGTGGCCCGAGATCGCACCGATCTCCATCGGCGCCGCGCCTTGATCCACCGCGCCGCTAGCTGCGAAGACCTGTCCCGACGCTATCCACTCTCTCTGGTGGGTCCTCAGCGCCATGTGCGAGACCTTGGCGGCCGTCGGAGCATTGCGTAGCACGGTCTTGTGCGGCTCGGGGCCATGGACGAGCAGCGAGGCGACGCGGAACTCATCGCCGAAGTCCGTCCCCGCCTGCATGACGTACCTCGCCACGTCGTTGTCCCAGTCGACGAGCTGGTCAGCGAACGGCTTCTGGTCATCCCACCTGGGGTTGAGCAGGCCGCTGAACACGGCCGCGAACCTGTTGCCCAACCCAGGCTCGCACTCGTTCTTGATCGCCCGCCAGGCGACGAAACCCTCGTGCCTGCCCGCGAGCGTAACCATCGCCAGCGCCTTGCGCTGGGTCTTGGTGATCAGCATGGCATGCAGCAGCTTGCTCGTTGCTGCCGCGCGTTCGCCCATGCTGACGTTATCCACCGCGAGCGCTGGCTGGGCCTCAACGTTGTCGATGAGGTCATCCCATCCCAGCCCATCAGCGCGAAGAACGCATGGGCTGTGATGGACCAGCTGGGTCAGTCCTCCTCTCTGCCACTGAACTCTGGCAGCTTGATGTCGCCTCTGCAATCCACCAGCTGCTCTCTGGGCGCCGCTGCCATGGGCAGCGCACGTCCGCAGTCTTCCCGTGGACCTGATCCGCGTAGTTCACCGCAAAACCACGCTCACCGCTACCATGGCGGAAGTTACGCGGATGCGTGGGGAAAGCGTATATTGGGGCTCTTTTCCTCCAACGCAGCTCGAACAAAAAGGCCTGCGGGTATGCTACGAATTGACGGCGCCCGAATCAGTCAAGATCCCAAGCAAATTTTGCGTGGGGTCGCGGGGTGGGTCGCAGGTGGGTCGCGGGGTGGGTCGCAGGTGGGTGGCGGGTGGGTCGCGGACCGGGTCTCGGGTCCGTTGCGGGTGGGTCGCCGGTGGGTTCGCAAAAGCAATAAACGAATCCAGCAACCGCACTTACGAAACCATAACAAAACATGGGTAAACCATTGTAATATTTTCGCAATGAAACATACAGGTGTCTCATATTTGAAAAGAAAAAACTGCATACACATTGATTTCAATGCAAATCAACGCAAATCTGGATTCTCATGTTTTCTTGAATATTTACCGAGCTTACAAACCTCTCGATACAAATCCTCCACCATTTGCTTTGTGGATCCACTTATGGATCCAGATAAAAGGAAAGAGGACGAAGAAGAAAGAGGGGAACGAGGGAAAACGCCAGGTGTGGAACAAGTGCGACGCCAAGATCTCGCATGCGGTGTCCTGATTTCTGAAGCACGGGATTCTCGGAAGTCTCATGCACGTCTCCAGGGCTGGCTTTGCATCCTCAGTCGCTTCGTTGACGGTCATGGGGCCTGCTGAAGGCCCCTGGAGGCCGAGAACGTCCCCCAAAAATGTCACCACCGTTTTACGACGCGAGGGGGTCTATAACGGGAGGGTTGGCGACCCCAATCCCCCAATCCCGAACTTTGTGCTGCTTGCACAACTTGAGGATATACAGAGGGGGGGCGACCATCTCGACAGGGATACGTCCGAGTAGGCCCCCCTGGTTTTATCTCCGAGGTACCCCTCTTCTGAGCGGCCTACGGTCGGGAACTTTTGCTTAGCGTGTCGCGGCGGCGGTCCTGATGACACGCTATGTCGTGCGAGTGGATAGTGTGTCGGGCGGGGGGGGTGGAAGCAGTTGAGGACGTCGACGCTTGGGAATTGGGACGTGGATGGCGTGCCGCACCGAAGCGCGGTGGACCAGGACCAGCAGAGCGACACGCGGAGCCAACGCTCCTGACCGTAATCTGTCGGGCGAAACTCGGGGATTGGAGGCCTACGTGTTCGACCATGGACTCTTTGTTGCCCATCGCTCCTGGGCCGTCTTCGGCGGTCTTCTGACGCTCTTCGGCGGCCTGCATGGTTGCGTTCAACAAGGGGTCCATGATCGAACACCGAAGGGTAGATACAGTCAACACGGATAGTGAGGATGCACGAAAGCGACATAAGCCATGCCGACATCTTTCGAGCGGGGCGCGGCAAGCGAAAGTAGCCAAGGATGCGCAGAAGGGGAAGGATGCAGGGGTAACCCTGGAAAGTCGCTCATTATTACTATCAGTGTCGACTGTACGTCGCCTGAGAGTCTCGGCCCCCTGTCCCCCAAGGCCGCTGCGAGCGCCTGCCGAGGTTGGCTCCAGACAGAGGGGGTCTTTCCCCATAGTGCTGCCAACCAGAGTTCCAAAAACTTTCATCCTGTGGCGCATTGCGCGTGGCAGCCCCGCGCTGATATCGTACGACACGCGCATCCCGCACGAACGACGGCAGGAACTGCTGCGAACATGTTTGAGACCCTCTCTGCAGAGGACCCGTGCCCGAGTCCGACGAAGGCAGGCCGCGGGGAGGGGGCGCGGGCGCTGGCGGCGCCTCCGGCGGCGCCGGCGAGGCCGAAGTCCCACGGGCGCCCGGGCTCGCCGAGCGGGAGAAGAGGCTC